GGCCGGAGGTCGGGGGGTCTGTCCCTGCGCCTTGCTTGGGTCACTGGCTGATTAGTCTTTCACGGGGGCTGGATGCCCCTCTCCCGGGCGACTTGGCGCAGAGCCGTCTGTGCCGCACTGCCCAGCCTGATCCTGAGCAGGCGGTGTAAGTCAGCGGGGCTGGGGGGCTCTGGCTCTTTTCCGCAAAACACGAGGAGACACGGCAGTCGGCGAGAACACGTCTTGCGGCAGGGCCGCGCTTGAGTTGGAGAGGGGGAAGGTTTTGGTGAAGCGTTTCTGCTGCTGGTGGTGGGATCGGGGCCATGAGCTGCCGGAGGAGAGGGGCAGGCGATGCACAGCTGTTGGGGTCGAGGCAGCTGAGGCGGGTGTTGCATGGCAGGGCTGCAGGCAATCTGGAAAACTGTCAGGAGGGAGAAGGGGGCAGGGGAGGTGGATTCCTAAAGCCAGGAGGATCTGGGAGATGTGGATTCTGGTCCCCACTTGGCCATGAGGTTCACTGGGTACCTTTGGGCCGGTCACAGACTCTCGGCCCAGGCTACCTCGCAGGGCTGTTGTAAGGATGAAATGGAGCTCTGCAAACTGCCCCGGGCTCCTCACCGGAGGGGAAGCAACCGGACGTAAAGCCAATGAATAAACGATAATTTCTGTTAACAAGCCACTTGAACATCACATATTTTCAGCCCAGAAGGAAGTGCAAACAGGGGTGTGAAAACTTTTACAAATTCTTGAACTTGCATTTGGGAAATATGCATTTTCCTCCTCAATTACGAACTAGCATTAAGTCAAATTTGGGGTTGTATTTGACTACAGACAAAAGTGCCTCAGGAAAGAGAAATGCTGCTTATAAAAAGCCTTTGTTCTGGCTGAAAGTCAACAAAAATGGCTTTCATCACTCAGCAAGTACAGGTAATTTCAGGTTAATTCCTTCCTGAGGCTTTAAAAATGAGAAAATCTGCATAACAATGCTTGGCCCATTAACTTTTCTCTGCCTAACAATGGTTTGGCCTACTAACTTTAAAAAATCAAAACAAAACTTTCCCTCAATAGATTTTAACTCTGTTTGCTGGAGGTTTTAGATGAGAACCTTAGCTTCTAAAAAGACCAAGATAATCCGTAATGAATATTTTGTTCTTTTGTTTGGGACCTGTTGTTTGGCCTTTAAAAGTATACCAGACAACTATTCTTAAGGAGATCCTGGGAAGCTTTTCCGATCCAAGGTTTTTCCCCGGTGAATTTCCACCTCTGAGATGGTCAATGACCGGGACAATAAAAAAAAGATCTCAAGGAACTTGGTGCAATTTGTGCAAATTGGAAGCCACAAGCGTACATAGTTTGAGGGAAATGTGTGCAAATCATGGCAGAGCTGCATCAGGCCGGGCTCCCTGTTAGCACAGAGGGTCTGACTGGCACATGTTTCCTTAGTGTTCCTTCTTCCAGCCTGTCTCCGAATCGGAGAGCTGGACTTGGTGTCCAGCAACAGCCGGGGCTGGACTAGATGGCCCTTCCAGCTCTCCTGTTCGGTGATTCTGTGAGCTGCGGGGGCATCACCCCACCCTGGACATGCATCGCCCCATGGTGCCGTCTGCGCATGGACTGTGGACTGGGCCAGTGCAGAGCAAACCAGCAGGGACTGCCGGAGCCCCCTCGGTGGGGGCGTTCAAGGACAGACTGACCTGCACGTGGCGGGCATGTCATGAGTGGAGCCGGCTGCAGCCGGGGGTCAGGCTAGATGGCCCCGGAGGCCCCTTCTGACTCACTCTGTGTTTCTATGTCATTATATTGGCGCTTCTTATCCACTCCAGAGTTTACTCTGAAGTTCAAAGGAGAAGCCTTGGTTCTGCACCCTGTCCCCAAAACAGGCTGGAGCAGATAAGAAGTGAATGAGCTCAGGGCCCCCTGCCCCCGCTGCTCCAAGCCCCTCTAGATGGGCCTGCGGTCTCCACAGGCGCCTTTCTCGGATGGCTCTTCCTGTCCCCACGAGCCTCCCTGGTCAATGCAAAATGCGCCTGCCGTCCGCCAGACCCCAAGTGCCCCAACGCACAGCCAGCTCTTCTGAAACGTCTCCTTGCCCAGCCTGCCTCGCGGCCGCAGTGAGAGCCCCCGGTGCCGGTCCCCAGTCCTGCGCGCCACGGAGGAGGGGTGGGCTGGGAGGGCGACCCGCCGAACATGCTCTCACGCATCCATCCCGCGACACGTTCCCCGTACTCATGATGGAGAGCCGCCCGTGGCTCGAAGGGCTGACAGTCGGGGAGGGGGCAGTGTCACGGGGCTCGCCCTGGGCGGCAATGCCAAGATGGGGGGCCAGCCCAACTGGCCAGCCGTGTGAGATCGGCCCCGTGCCACGGCCTCCTCGGGACACGGCCGTCCCAAAAGACAGTGGTCTTAGCAGCACTGGACCCGGGCCGGCAGGACAGAATCGTGCCCACTGGGACCCGTCCCTGGGGTGGGGAAATGGGCCGCACCTCCTGGCATTTCGCCGGGGACGGCAGCCGCCGTGGCAACTTGCCGTGGCCGACAGTCGTTCCCCTGTCTCCTGTCCCGTTTACCTGGCGGCAAAGCCAGCACCAGGTGCTGGCATCGTCCTCTTGAGAGCCAGCGTGCTGCAGTGGTTCAGAGTGCGGGTCTGGGACACAGGGGGTCCGGGTTCGAGTCCCCACTCGGCCATGGAGCTTGCTGGGTGACTTTGGGCCGGTCGCAGCCCAGCCTGCCTCACAGGGCTGCTGTTGTGGGGATAAGAGGGAGAGGAGACGGGGAATGACGTAAGCTGCCTTGGATTCCTGGAAAGGAAAAATAGGTGAGACTCAAATGCAATCAATCAGAAAGAAAGAAAGAAAGAAAGAAAGAAAGAAAGAAAGAAAGAAGGAAGGAAGGAAGGAAGGAAGGAAGGAAGGAAGGAAGGAAGGAAAGATCTAGAGCTTCACATTTATTCCCCACCAAGGGTATTTTGCCAAGTTCAAGGAACCCAGGTTCTACTTGGATGCCAGGAAGTAGAAACATAGAAACAGAGCGAGTCAGAAGGGGTCTCCCGGGCCATCTAGTCTGACCTCTGGCACCAGCCGGCTCCACTCACGACATGCCCGCCATGTGGACGTCCAGCCTATGCCAGGAAGTACTTCCTGACAGGACCACTGGGGTATGGAATGGGCTTCCACGGGAGTGGGCAGTCAGAGAAAATTCCCAAATGCATGTCATGAGTGGAGCCGGCCGGAGCCGGGGGTCAGACTAGATGGCCTGGGAGGCCCCTTCTGACTCGCTGTTTCTATCTTGGATGACTCCCTGCCCCCGAACACAAAGCCCTGCCGTTCCTCAGGTGGGGATCCCTGAGTGAAAGGCAGGCATGGCACATCCGTGTCAGGAGGATGTCCGGATCGAGGCCTCCTGTGGGCGGCTGGCTTCCCACCAGAAGAGCAGAGTGCTGGACCACAAGGGCCGTGAGTGCGATCCAGCAGGGCATTCCTGGTGTGCCTTGGACCCATTTCTTCCTGCTGTGTGGGACACACGGCACCCTGGACTCAGAAGAGATCCTGCAGCATCATTCTGCAGGCACAAACGATATCTCACGGACAGACGCTCGGTTCCAGACTATGCTCTTGAGAAGAGCCCAACTCGGCTGACGTTTGCACAACTGTGCTTGTGCGGTGGGCAGTGTGCAAGAGCTCGCACCATGGAAAGACGCAACAGAGCTGCGCTTGCAGGACTGGTGTTTGCACAACGGCAAAGCCCAAAAGCTGTGGAGCATCTCCGCTGAAAAGTAACTTGGTGCACCATGATTCCTGCAACCTGATCCACAATATATCTATTTTTAATGTTTTGTTTAAATATCTGATGTATTCCAGCAGGTGTATTCTGAAAAACAGACGATTAGGTGCAGGTGACACAGTTTAGCAAAATGTGTTTCCACCTACAGCTGGTCTATGTTTATACATAACATAATTGTGCCTGCACAGCAGGAAGATGCCGGTCCTACCGCATCCAGATGCGCCGCGCTTCCCTGCTTCCCGTGGCCTCTCCCTTCCCCTCACTCGCCGCTTCTCACCCTGAGGTGCTTTGCCGGGAATGCATCTTTTCTTCCACATCCTTCCTGGGATGGGAATGAGCTGGGATCTTGCTGTAGTTAAAATGAGGAACAGCCTTCCGCAGTGGGGTGCCTTCCAGATGTTTCCAACTACCAGGCCCATCAGCCCAGGCCGGCAGGGCCAGCTGTCAGGGATGATGCAGGCAGGTGCCACGGGAAGCACCTGGAAGGCGTCAGGTGGCGAAGTGGAAGAGCAGAACTCGGCGTCTTTCCCTCTTTCTCCCTCCTTCCCTTCCTTTATTTATCGGCTGGCCAATAATCACCGCTCTCAGGCAACTTTAACATATGGAATAACTTTCAAAGGATGGGAACCCAAGTGAGCGCAACTGAATCAAAGTGAACCCAGCAGGGGGGAAAAGGAAGGGCGCAGAAGTCCGGGAAGTTGGAATGACCCCAAAAGGCCGGGGGCGAGGGTGGGGGTGGAAAGGGCCTCCGTGAAAAGCCCGGCAAGGGACAGCAGGCCAGGAGCCCCGCTGGGAGCACCCACGGGTGTCTCCGCCTGTCGTGCGCGCACGCATCCTCGGATGAGATTCCCAGGCGCGCCCAGGAGATGGAGGGCTCTGGTGGGAATGGCGGCTCAGGCTCGGAGCAGGAGGAGTGGGCGGCTGACCCAGCTGCGGCTCGGAGTGCTCCCTGGACGCAAGCACGGGCCGCGGCATTGTATCCCGCGGGGACACGTCTGCAAGCGCCTCCCTGGGGACAAGGCCACCCCGTCGCTGCTCTCCTGGGCCCCAGAAGGGTGCGGTCCTCTTTCTCTGTGCCTCGCCGGGCCCGCTCGGCTCCGCGGCTGCTGCGCTCGCAGTCGGCTTGGCGGAGAAGCCAGTGCGCGGCCCCTTCCTTCCCCTGCCGCTGCCCTGCCGTGCATTGCCCAGAGCGGGCTGGGCCGGGCCAGCCGAAGTAACGGTCTGTTTTGATGCTTGCTCAGATCAGGTGGACCAAAACAGCAGGAAGCGCCTCTGACCGGTTTCAGGACTCGAGCGTCTTCAACGAGACCTTGAGGATCGCCAACATCCAGCGGCATCAGGGGGGCCGCTATTACTGCAAGGCGGAGAACGGCCTGGGCTCGCCGGCCATCAAGTCGATACGCGTGGACGTCTACTGTAAGTAAGCGGCCCGGAAGCCACACGGCCGCCGGCTCGGGGCTCCTCCGCAGCGGGAGGGGGGCAGCCTTGTCCACACAGCCTGAGGACCCCGAGGGTCGGCTGGGTGCAGGTGGCCGGATCCTGCGTTCCTCTTCCGTGCGAACGCAGAGCCGCGGGTTGGCTGCAGCCGGTTCCTGCTGAACCCGGCAGGCGGTGGCTCGTTGCCGGGCTTGGGCCCCGGGTCTCTTCGATCGGGGCGGTGCAGCACGGCACGTGAGCAGAGGAGCGTGCGGCCGCCATGTGGCCTCGAAGGCGGCGTCCGGGGCCGGCCCTGCGCTTTGCATAGTGGCCTGGCAGGCGAACCGGGAGTGGGGGTCCTGAATTATTGCCCCATGTGGCACGGGCTCGGGAGTGGGCTTTGTTTTTCGGCTCACTCGGCCGTGCCCCGTCCACAGCACCAAAAGTACAGGGGCGCTGGTGTAGTCCGAAAAGATGAGCCAATTCCTGGATTTACCTTCATGGCATGTGCACTTTTAGGAGAGTGCAGTTCCTGAGTCATGCGCAGATTAAGAGTTGGCCTCTTAAAGGATGCTTTTTTAAAATTGTTTAACCTCAGGCATGCTCCATTTAACACACACACACACACACACACACACACACACACACACACACACCGCCTTTCGTGAGGATTAGGTTGAAATTTTTTAGGGGTGCCACTGAAAACGCCCCAGAAGCGGAGTCCATCCCTGGGCAATTGTATGCAGGGAGGAAGTACAGTTGCCCCTGCATACTAATTGGGGGGGGGGGGGTAGCTTGCTGTGAGCCGGGGTTCTCCTCCTGAGTAAACGCACTGCTCCAGAACCCCTTTTCGATCGACATTATTGTGGCATGCCTCTGAGTCCGCGCAGAGCAAAGTGCCGCGCCCGTTCCTGCATCCATCACCCCCCACTGCGGCAGGACCCCCTCGGCATCACGCTCCTTGGGTGGGGGCTGCGAGCCGTGCCCACCTGCCGCCTCCCATTTTCTCAACCAATTGAACCGACTGCTCTCACCTGGCACCTGCGCCACCTCTGCAAGGGGAGCGCCTCTTGCGTCCGGCGAATCGCGGAGGTCTCGCTCCCCACTGGAGACCCTCCGGCTGCAGCTCCCCCCATGGGCCAGTAGACCAGGGCCCCCACCTGTCGAGCCCCCCCTTTCCCGGCTCCCCAGTCCCACAGGTGAACCACCCTGGGCCCTCCCCAGCCCCACTGCCAACTGCTCCTGCCTCCTGCTCAGGCCTTCAAGCCCGGTCTTGGTCCACCGCTTGGCTCTCTTCCGCACTATCCGGGCTTGAGCTCCCATCGAACTGGGCAGCAGCTCAAGCGCGTGCGGCCACTGTGGCGCGGGGCACATGTGCGGCAGAGCTGTCCTGTCGGACCCTGTGTGCATCCCCCCCGGTGCAGCTGGGACTCTGCTGTGCCGGGGAGCGTGAGCGATGGTGTATCCGGTCAGCACAAGGACCCCGGACGGCCGGCTGGCCTTGCCAAGCCCCTGCTTCCCCGGCAGATGGGAATATGGATGGAGCTGGGGGGGAGCCCTGTGGGGGGAGGCCAAGGGGAGAAGCACAGCTCCAGCCCACCACTGATTTTGTCTGCAGAGGAAAGGCTTGTGGCCTGAGCCCAGGCAGCCGCGGTTGCACGAATCGAGCAGTGGGCATTGGCACCGGGTGGCCAGTGGAGGAAGTCACAGGGGATGGCCACACAGCTCCAGTTGTGGCAGCCAAATGGAACCTCCATGTTCAGAGGCAGCCTAGTTCAGTGCACTGGACGGGGCGGCACAAAGATCAGGAGAAGGGCTTCCTATTTGTGTTAAATGTAAGAATGTGCAGATCAGCAGATCTTGAGCTCACCGAAGTTCTCCTGATTCCACCAGCTCTGATTTGCATCTGTAGAAGAACTCAAGCTTTTTGGTTTTTTTGGGGGGAGGCATGGAAATATAGAAACATAGAAACAGAGCGAGTCAGAAGGGCCTCCCGGGCCATCTAGTCTGACCTCCGGCACCAGCCGGCTCCGCTCGCAACATGCCCACCATGTGGACGTCCAGCCTATCCTTGAACATCACACCGATGGGGCCTCAACCACCTCCCAGGGAAGCCCATTCCACACCCTCGGGGTCCCGACTGTCAGGAAGTGCTTCCTGGCATCCAAACGAAACCTGGGTTCCCTGAGCTTTGCTCCGTTGGAGCGCATCCTGCCTTCCTCTGCAGGGGAGAACAGGTCTCTCCCCACCTCCGTGTGACACCCCCTCACATACCTGTATGTCGCCAACAGATCCCCTCTGAGTCTCCTCCAGGCTGAAGAGACCCCGTTCCCTCAGTCTCGCCTCATACGGCATCCCCTGCAGACCGGCCACCAGCCTTGTGGCCCTTCGCTGCACTGACTCCAACCTGGCTATATCCTTCCTGTAATGAGGGGCCCAAAACTGAGCACAGTACTCCAGTTGCGGGCGCACCAGAGTCGTGTAGAGTGGTAGTAATATCTCTCTCAATCTAGCAGCCACACTTCTGGCTATGCATCCAAGGGTGGCATTCGCCCTCTTGACCACCGCGTCACCCCCTCACATACCTGTGTGTCGCCAACAGACCCCCTCTGAGTCTCCTCTTCTCCAGGCTGAAGAGACCCCGTTCCCTCAGTCTCGCCTCATACGGCATCCCCTGCAAACCGGCCACCAGCCTCGTGGCCCTTTGCTGCACTGACTCCAACCTGGCTATATCCTTCCTGTAATGAGGGGCCCAGAAATAGAAACTGCTAAGTAACCTGCCCACACTTTGCAGCCGCACCATCTCCATCGTTCCCCAGCGGCACACCCGACATCCAGGCCGCCTCACTGGGGAGCGGGAGCAGGAGAGAGAGCCACTGCAGGGCTCCCCATCTGGCATGAAGCCCCCCCCCCCCCGCTGCTAGGAGGCCTGCCTTGCAGGGGCCGGACTGCATTTGCATTACAGAAGCGACCCGAGATGTTTACAAGCGGGCGCAGGGGAGCCGGGCGGCTTGGCTCGGCTCGGTGTGGCTGCCGTTCTCCCCCAGGGTGGGAAGCTTCGTGGGCAACCTGGAATCCACCCTGGATATTCCGAGCACGCCGGCGGCCCATTCAGCGAAAGGTCAAACCCATCTGCCTCGGAGGAGAGAGATTGATTGGCAGTTCCTGCACTCCGGCACCTATCCTGCCTTTGACACCTGAGAGGCATCCTTTCCCTGCACATTCCCACATGTGAAATCTTTCGGGGACCGGGCAGGAATGATAACAAGGTCCACTGGCAGAAAGGGCAAAACCTGGAGGTGTGTTTGCACTAAATAAGCAGAGCGGGAAGGGCGGCGGGGGGGGGGGTGAACCAGCAGCTCGCCCCTGCGCTGAGCGTGCCTGTGTTCGTCTTGGGCTCGCAGAATTTCTGTGCTAACAAGCTGGTGGAAAATCATCCCCAAAGCACCCAGATCACTAACCTTTGAGCCCGAACCTATCTGGCATGTTTAAGGAAGATGTTGATGTTGTACACGGCTTGGAAAACTGGAAAGCACTTCGCAAGTCACAGAAGTAGCTGCTGGGATTAGGGGGTTTATTGGGATCAGGAGCTGGGAGGCGCTGAAGAAGAGGGGACGTGGGCACTCTGCACAGTCCAGCTGAAGTCACAGCAATTGCATGGATCCTGGTGGGGCTTCCCTGGTGTGAGAGACGCGCCCCGAGCCCTGGCGGCATCCCTCCCGCGGGGGTCCGCAGCGCACCGCTCTCCTGCTCCGCTGGCCTTGCGAAGGGAAGTCCGCCAACGCTCAGGGGACGGGGTAGCCTTCTCCACCTCGGGTGCGGGAGAGGAGGGGGCACAGAGGGGGGCGCTGCTTACCGGAGGGGAAAGGGCCTCTGAAAGCCTGGCGTGGGGAGCCCAGAGGGTGGGCCCGACCATGAAACTAAAACAGTGGCTTTCCGCGGTTCTCATTTCCTCCCCGGCACAAGCCCCGCTCCAGCCTCTTCAACTCCTTGGTCTCACCTCGAAACTCTGCGTGATCTTGCGAAGTAACCTGATCACTTACCGGGTAAACTCACTAATCCAAAGCAGGGCTGGCGAGTTTCCGCTGCTGGAAGTCCCACTGACTTGAACTTCATGGGCCTTCTCCCCACTTCCAGGTGCAGGAGCGGGAAATGGCCGAGTGAACTTCTTTTCTGGGGCCTTCCATCTCCAAGACCAGCCACGTTTTGTGTGTGTGTGTGTGTGCGCGTGTACACACACAAAATTGCCATTTGCACTTATGGCGAGCAGAAACTGCATAGTTCTAGAAACAGCTAGAACTGCGTAGAAACATAGAGACATAGAAACAGGGCAGGTCAGAAGGGGTCTCCCGGGCCATCTAGTCTGACCCCGGCACCAGCCGGCTCCGCTCACGACATGCCCACCACGTGCACATCCAGCCTATCCTTGAACACCCGCACCGATGGGGCCTCAGCCGCCTCCCGAGGAAGCCCCTTCCACACCCTTGGGGTCCCAACCATCAGGAAGTGCTTCCTGGCATCCAAATGCAACCTGGGTTCCCTGAGCTTGGCTCCGTTGGAGCGCGTCCTGCCTTCCTCTGCAGGGGAGAACAGGTCCCACCCATCAGGACGTCCATCCTGGCATCCACAGGTGTGTGTTCTGCTCCGTCCTCGTGTTTTTTCATGAGCACTGCGGGCTGCCCAGTCTCGCCCTTCAGCGGTGCTGGTCCTGGGATTCCTGGCCCGGGCTGGGGGAGGTGAGGGGAGGGACTCGCTGCAGCCGCCTGCCAAGTGCACCTGCTGGGCCCATTCCGCGGGACGCGGGAGCTCTCCTCCTGTGCCCAGAGTGATGGGTCCGAGAACCTGCAGCTCCTGGATCCCCCAGCTTTCCGAGAGCAGGATCCAGCGCCTGCCCCCGGCAAACGTCCCTGCAGAGGCCTATAACTCTCTTCCGGCTGCAGCAATTAAGGTCCAATTCAGGGACCGAGAACATAGTTCAGCCGCCTCGTTAATTTCCACGC